CCCCCCGCAGCGTTTCTTTTTAAAAAGTCACCAGCAACGTTGGACCCGAAATCAAAAGGGCGGCCAAGCCCAGATTTGGGAATTAATGGATGGGGCTGTACAAACTGACCGCGAGGAACGTCTAAGTCCCTCCCTCCCTCCGGGGTTTTTCTGGGTCAAGATCTGCCAGCCCTTCGGCCAAACGTCTTTCCAATTCTTCTTCTTCTTCCTTTTTTCTTTCCCCTTCATCATCCTCCGGGTGCAAAATATTCGCCCGCCAGACTCCGCTCCCCAAAACGCCCTCAACTCCCGGGTTTAGGATAACCGGGGGGGGGGGGGGGGGTACAAGGCAGCCCCCCCCCAACCCCCCGGCGAAGTTTTTTTTTTTTTAAAAAAAGGGGGAAATGAATGAACGGCTCCAGCCGATCGCTGGGATCCACCACCGCTCCTCGTCCACGGCTGACGCGGGAGGGGAAGAGGAAACCTCGTCACGCACCTCACACACGCACAAGACCCACACACAACCGCGCAAGCAACGCCACACACGGCCGGTGCCCCCCCCTCGCCAAGAGAGGCGCAAACGGCAAAACTCCGGAGAAATTGGGTTTACCTGGCTGGAGGATCTTCACCGGCAGGTGATCCATGCTGGTCGGGTTGCAAAGATGAGCCAGGGACCCAAATTTGGAGAGTAGCATCTTCCCAAGCGACACCACAAAAAGGTGGGGTGGTGGGGTGGGAAGGGAAAAAAAAGCACAACACCCCAACGACCACCACCCACAATAATCACGACGCAAAGGCTTCTTCTCAGTCCGCCGGGATGGGGGGGGGGGCGGCTCGCTGTTTGAGGGCAACGGGACGGGGCCGGCAGCGCAGCTCCTTCCCCCGGATCGCGGGAAAAAGCCTCGCTTTGGCAAAGCCTCTCTGCCCGCTTCGGCGTCCCCGGTCTCTCCCCTTCCTCCGCCGGGAACACACGCACACACGCACGCTCTCTTCTTTCGGGTCGAAAGGCAACTTGCAAGTCCGTGCAGCCCAGCAGAGAATCCCAGGGAAACGGATAGATGTCCTTAAAGGGACGGGGAGGAGAAGAAGAAGAAGAAAAAGGGGGAAAAAAAATTCCACACGCCAATCTTTATTTTAGGAAAAAGAAAAAAATGAAAAAAAATTAGGCAAAAAACGACGACGGATCGGGCTCTTTTCAAGCAGGCAACCCAGGCCCCCCCCCGGGTGTCTTCTTCGGTCGTGTCGCGCAAAGAAACCCCACGCGAGCAATCGATTAAATCCAGTCCGGGATGTAGCGCCGCAGTGAGGCGGTCGTGGTGGAGGAGCGGCGGCGGCGGCAGGAACAGCAGCAGCAGCAGCTCAGCCTCCGACTGACACCGCTCTCTTTCTGATCTCCGCTGCACGCAGCAGCGGCCTCTTAACTCTCAATATTTTGGTGGGGGAAGGAAGGGGAAAAAAAAAAAAAAAACAGACACGCATCTCCAAGTCTGTATCCCTCCGCCGGAGGGAATCGGCGGGTAGCGTCTTTCTCTCCCTCCCTCCGCCCTCCCATCGCTTCGAATAGGTCCGGAAAGACTCCGCCCCTCTCTCTTTTAAAGCTCCAAAGAGGGGACTGCGGAACCTCGCCCCATTGTAAATACGGCGGGTGGAGGCGAGGGACTATTTGCTTATAGTAAAGAGACGCGGCGAGTTACTGTCTGAAAAATTCTCATCACAGGATGATGCGGTGGAGGGAAAGGCGGGGGGGGGGGGGCGCGGGGAAGGAGCGAAAAAAAAAAAAAAACCCACGCGCGCGCGCACACACACTCACACAAACACACACACAGAGAAAAGGAAGGCTCTCTCTCTCTCATTTACATGCGTCGGAGCCAATGAGAGGGGCGGCTCTTTCAAATGAAAGCCTGGCTTCGGCCAATCAAGGGAAGGCGGATTTGGGTATGCATCAGTGGAACTTTGGGGTGGGGAGGGGGATCGGGGGGGGCGCTTACGAGCGAAGGGCGGGAATTCCTGGGCGCGCCTTGCTCGCGCGTCGCTAACCTGGCGGCGGTGGGGAAGGTCATTCTCAGCAGGGCTGAGCGCTGCGTCGGAAGCGGGAATTCGGGGGAGTCGCGGGGCGGGGGCGCAAGGCAGCCGCCATGATCGGCAGGCAGGAGAGGGCTTTCCCCTTCCCTCCTTGGTGAGGCGGTAAAGCCCCGCCGCCGAATGTCAATAAAACAGTAATAATCCCACCCCCACCACCCCAAAAAACGGCGCCATTTAGCAGCAGCCCCACCCCGTCAGCTCGCAAACCTGCAGCAATTTGGCGCCAAAGACCCTCAGAAATGCCGTTTTGGACGCCGTGTGACAAGAGCGGGGCATCCGAGAAGAAACTCGCACATGGTTCCCCCCCCCCCAATGAAGGGTTAATTAAAAGCTCCCTCAGATTAATAATATTTTTTAAAAAAAAATACGCAAGGAGCACCTTTCTACTCATTCTCTCGTAATCCAGAAGCGCTGTTTGATAGGATTTATAGTCCGGGAGGAGCGAAAAAAAAAAAATTCCGCACGGTAGTAGGGATGGGCTTTTTCCTAAGCGGCAGCCCACCCACCCGCCTTTTTTGGGGTTGCCACGGACACGCACACGCGTATTTCTTCCCTCCCGATTTGAAAGGATTTATAAGGAAGGAGTTCCGTCCTCGGTTGCCGCCACTTTTCCTGAGGCACCGCGGCTGCCCGGGGTTAATATAAAAAAACAAAAACAAACCAAAGCACGCCCTTATAAAACATTGCCCAGAGAAAAGCAACAGGACCCTCGCTCCCCGAGGGAATGCAGTCTAGCCTCCTTCATACCCGAAGCTGAACTTTTTTTTTTAATTTTTAAAAGGATGCTTTTATTTCGAGAGCGTATTGAATGTTGCCGAAGGACCCCCGCAGTTCCTTTAGACGGGAAACCTCAAGACCTTTCCCGCTTCCCCCCCCCCCCACCACCCCCGACCCCTCCTTCCCGAACAGCTTTTACCCCAAACAAACCCTTATTATTTTGTCTGGCACCGCTGGCCCTGGAAATCCACCCAGCGCCACCCACCCACAAAGACTCTCGGAGACATTGCACGCGCGCCGCAGTGTCTCACGTTTGAATTCTTGCTTGTACAGTACTTAAAAGGCGTCTCGTTGACACCGGGGTGGGGTGGGATGGAAGTGGGGGGGGGGGGGGGGGGGGGGCTGAGCCGGTGTAGCGACCCTTCTTGCCCACCGGGGGCGCCAAATCAACGAGGAATCCTCCGTTCCGAAAAGGGAATCCCGGCTCAGCCGCAGAACGGACGGATCTGCTGAGCCTTGCACGTTTGTAAGGAGCGCCGCATTGGAAGATCAATGGGGGTGGGGGGGTCGAGGATCGATAGACAGCTGGTAGGCAGATGAAAGAGAGATAGAGGGTAAACATATAGTAGATAGGTGAAGTGATACATACATAATAGCCGAGAAATGGATGCATAGATAGCGACAAATGATAGGAAGAGATAGATGAAAGGTAGAGGGTAAATGGGTGATAAGTGGATGGATGGATGGAAGGGAAAAAAAAAAAAGAGAGATAAGAGATAGTTACACGATAGAGATAAGTACAGGGGTGTCACAGAGCATGATCCAAAAAAGTCAAGGTCGTAACCATGGTGGAATAAAAGCACCAGTTGTTTTTCTGTCTTGCACACACACACACACACATATATACATACACACAAATGAGCGAAGCTTTGATAGCACTGTTGGGGCTGCCCATCTATATGACCACCACCTACAGACGCTTTTAGGTAAACAACAGACAAAAGATGCATTTTATATTATAAAAAGATATGTGAATAGATAGATACATACATGCACACCGAAAAAAGGGTGATTGTTGACAAAGAGGTGGTTAGGTGATAGAAAAATGAGGTTATAGAGCCGTGATGGCGAACCTATGGCACGCGTGCCAGAAGTGGCACGCAGAGCCATTTCTGCTGGCACACGAACCGTCGCCCCATAGCAGGTCTACTCTGCAGGTGCGTGCGCCACCCGCTGATCGTCAGGTAGCTGCTGGATATGTGTGGGGGTGGGGCGTGCATAGGAGACACGCGTGCATACGCAGAGACGCGTAGCACGTGTGTGGGGTCGCATGCGCAGAAATGCACAGCATGCATGGAGGATCGTGCGTGCATGCGCAGGGGGTGTGGCCCCCCGCGTGAATTGCCTTATGGGTGATGGTGCGCATGCGCACGTGTGCACGGGCACACACACACTTTTGGCACCCGAGGACGAAAAGGTTCGCCATCATTGGTATAGAGAGATGAGAGATGAACAGAAGATCAATAGACGTCTTTATAACCATTTACAGTTTTAAATGCATCTATGCTATCTTTTTTTTTTTGTATGTTAAAAAGAAGACGACAAAATTAATAACTTTCCTCTTAAGGAAATTACACTAACTATACCTTTCGGTTGCTTATTTGAAAACACTGAAATGACTCAATGGCCAAGCAACAAGTACATGCTAATAATATGTGGTTATCATAAATATGATATTAAGCATAGGATATTATTTCATAGTGTAAACTTGTATCCTTTTTTTTTTTTCAGGACATATAGTTCTTGTCAATTGTGCCTTTAACAGTGCAATGCCAATTTCTGGGAAAGTAATGGGAAACTGAAAACAACTGCAGTAGAATGAAAATCTGGAAAATAAACTGAATCTTTATAATTCCTGTACAAACAAGAAGAGGATTTGAGATTGTCAACAAGTGGTCCAAGTAGTTGCTCCTTGCAGGAGACCACAAGAAAGTTTGCAGCTCCGGGAGATGAGACAACAGCCATCTTTTAGCTGAAATCATGATTGGCACCTTCAAAAGGGCATTAGGTTTGCATAGTCTCTTTTCTATTCACTTTTGGAAATTGTTAATTGCTTTTCAGTTATCAGGGACTTTTGGATTGACAGGTTTTATAGCATCCTTCAGCCCTAAGCAAAAGAAATTTAAAACAGGTTTAAGAATCGTGATTGCACCTGATTTTACAGCCTTTTTACGGCAAACAAATGTAGTCATAAAGCAAACCCATCGTTTGGCATGGGGCAATACTTGCCAGAAACCAGAAATAAACACTGCTTTCCAGCAAAAACATAAATTGCAATCAAGTGATTGCAGGGTGCTGCAAGTGGCAAAAATGCAGTCATGTGACCATGGGAAAGGGCAGAACTTCAAAAGCGAGTTATAAAACCCAATTTTGGGGTTCGTCATATCTTTGAATGGTTGCTAAGCTGTCAATTGTAAGTTAAGGACTACCTGTATTGTATATTCTTATTTTTTCTTCCTTTTCCATTTTTATTTTTTTCCTGCACTTTCTATTTTTTCTTTTTATTCTCTTTGTAATATTTTAAATTGTAATTTTTAATAAAATTACTATGAAACAGTGAGATGTCAAAAATGCAACATGCGTATGTAGTGAAAAGAAACATTTTGCAATCACTAACTGATTTTTTTGTCCTATTGTGAGTCTGTGAGAGAACAATAACTTTACAAACACAGGATGGCTAATGTTTTGAAATATGGAATACAGTGCTCCCCAAATAGGAGAGGTGGTTCCTTATATCTGATGTAGCATCGTTCCAAATAATTTATCCAGTTCCTGAAACTTTAGGAGGGATAAGCAAAGAAAAGTCAGATGCAAACCCCAAAAGGAAAAGCAAAAAAGGTGTTTGGTTTTAGAATAGTTCTGCAATGTTTATTGAGATGCCTTTTGCTCTCAACTGTCACCTTATTTAACCTTTCGGTTTCACATGACTGTTGATGGCTCATTGGGCTTAACAGGGTGTGGATCTGGGGTTACACTATAATGCTTTAGTCCAAACAGGAGAAATGTGTTTTGTCAGTTGCATCTTTCACCATGC